ATGTCATGCCAATGATCTGTACGGCGATTAATTGGGGCCGACTATATGATACCCTGCACCTCTATGCATGTTTAGTAGAGCTTCCGCAACAAAATAATTTATTTGAAGTAGATCATGCCATCTATCAACATTTGGCTTAAGAGAAATTATAGTTTGATTGGAGGAGGATTATATTAAAAAAAATATATCGGAACCGAGTTGCACAAAATTCACTCCCAAAATTCACCCCCGAAATTCACTCCAATTGGGCTGAAATTAGCCAATATTTGCACAATAATCCTGAAATCGAATTAAGGATATATATGGGAGCTATATCCAAATCTTTGCCGATCTCGATAAAATTTGTCAAATCTAATTCCGAGATCTATAATATATGAGGTACCAACTATCATTGTTGTCGAATACATATTTCAAATGTGAAGGACTTAAAAACCAAATCGGATGAAAATTATGTACTTGCTTCTGGACTGAATTCGGTCGGATGTACCAAAATTCAGGCCATTTGGAATGATATTGACTATTGGGTGCACAATTAACGCGAACTCGGTCGAAGATATATGTGGTAACTACATCCACATCTGAACCGATCTTGACAAAATTTTATTTATTTCAGAGCTGTATCTGATATCTGGCACCATAGATCATTGTTGTGGAATACATATTACGCTTGTGAGGAACTTTAAACCCCGAATCGGATAAAACATATATATGAATTTGGTGCACCCGAAATCGGTTGAAGTTATACGGGATCTATATCTAAATCTTATCCGATTATCACCAATCAAAGTTACTCATGATTGGGTCTGAAATTGTGGTCGAAACTTTCAAAATACCGAAAATCAGGAAGAAACACAATTTGAGGGCCTTAGCGAAACTTGGACCGATGTGTCCCATTTTTAATACCAAACATACTAGGGGTATGTAACATGTAAATAAATGTCTGAGCAAAATTTCAGAGCGATAGAATGCTTCCTGAATTAATCTCCGTTTTGGGAGATCTCATCCCACTGTGCGCCGTCTGTGTTGGTAAAAATCATTAAAATAGCAAATTGTACTCCATTTGTTGAGAAAGCAATAATTGGAAGTCCTACATTGACACCTGGTACCGCTATATGGAGTCCTGTTGGAATGTTCAATGCCTGTGGCCAAAATATTTGCGTGCCAAAGGCTTCAATACACCCTCCAGAATATTTTCGGGATAATATTCGGCATTTGTTCTGATGCCATGGTCGATTAATACGAGCGGAGAGCGACCTGCTGTTATTTTGAGCTTGAGTTATTTTGAGCTTGAGTTCTGGTGGCCAACCGATGGTTCACATTTTCAGCCTACCTCTTTGGCAAGTTAACACCATCATTTTGTTTGTTTACAAATTGCTGGACAACGAATGTTTTCTCATCGGAGAAAACCAAAATCAGCAGTTCCCCACTTTCGGCCAAGCGAAGCGGTGGAAGTTCTTGAATCTTTTGGAATGGCTTTACCCCGATCTCATTTTTCAATATTTGCCGAATTGAATATTGCGATATGTTCACCTCACGAGCCATATTTCGGCCACTGCGACGCGGGTTTCGATTAAGACGCTTCTTTACTTTTCGAACCATTTCTGCTGATGTTGCTGTTTTCTTCCGACCACTTCCTTGACGGCAACGAGCGATGGTACGAGACACATAAGATTTATTCACATTTAAATGCTGGATAGCCACTTGTTGTTTTCCAGCCAAATATAAAGAAATCACACTATCACGTTTGAATTCCATCACGAATAACTTTTTTCTGGAAAAAACGCTTGTAAAAAATATAATGAGCTGTCACTAGAATAATTTTAACAGCTGAGGACGAGTGGCTTAGAAATGACAGCAGTTTGAAGTTGGTTGCAGTTTTTTCATCTCACCCTCTATGTTCTTGAAAATGTTAGACAAGAGTATCCAGAGTAAATCCCATCAGTGTAGAAAAGTACTGGGTAATTTTGAGTCTTTCATCAAGCATTGTTGCGCTCCTGGCCATTGCAACATACTTGGCGGATGAACTAGGAAGACGGATATGGATTCGAGTCAATCACCATGGATAGAGATAGATGGGTGAAGAGATAGATAAAGGTGACTTCACCACCTTTATGCTACTTCTTTTGAATGCTATAGGAGCATAATTCCGGGGAGGTTTGATAAAACTGTCTAAATGAGAGGGCCGTAACGTCTCGAAAAAAAAAAAATTGGCCAATTCTCTCACGAAAGAGAACAAGGTCCCATTTTTATATGGCTATATACTGTGTCACTGTTATAAGAGGTTGTAAAGTCTTACATCCACATAGCCATAGCACTAGAGAGGGTATATATCATTTGATACGGCCAAAACGTGCCTCATCGAAACAACGGTTTTAGACCCTAGGTCTCTTTGTTCCAACTCCGTTTCAGGACATTTGGAGTCGATCTAGCATTGTCCGTCCGTCTGTCTGTCTAGCTGGTGAGCACGATGACATTCGTACGGAGTATCCAATTTGGTACATCGTAATATTATTGTCAATCTTAGATCTAGTTCGGAGATGGACAATATCGGAACCTCCCCCACAAAATGTGAACGTTTCCAAAGAAAATTATTCACTGCATAGAAAGATAAAGGATTTTCCGGTTTTGCTCTAACTTTGTTAATCCTAATATTTGCATCAGGTCAGGTGCGAAAATGGTCAATATCGGTTCACTCCATCAAGTTCCTCCCCCACAAAGGGTTGAATAATTATAACTCTTACAAAATGTAATGTAAGTGTCCGATTGGCTTCAAATTACACACATCCCAATATTTCCATTAACACAAGATCTGTTATAAAGATGTTAGAGATCGGACCTTTCTTTCTGGTACCTCTCCCACAAAGGGTCAAAGTTTTGAATAACCAAAACGATCATAAAATCTGAAATAAACATCCGGTTCTCTTCAAATTACACACATCACAATATATTTATTAACCCATGATCTGGTGAAAAAATGGGTCACACAAAGGGTCAAAATTTTGAATATCCATGAAGCTCATAAAACACAAAATTAACATCCGACTCCATTCTGGCTTAGTGCATCTTTATATTTCCATCAACATAAGATCTGTTATAAAGATGATAGAGATAGGATTATTCCTTCTGGTCCCTCCCCCACAAAGGGCCAAAGTTTTGAAAAACCAAAACGATCATGATACGCGCTGACGATACGTAGTACTTGGTAATGAGAAAAACAAGTTTTTTGCTGAATGAATGAATGACCGAGAATCAAAGCCCAGATGAAACGGTTGAAGCTAGAATCTTGAAATTTGGTCTTTCAAACATTACGAAAAGTTCTAAAATTATACCAAATTTCTTCCATTATGTAAACGAATAGAGCTTAAAACTGAAATTTGGTATGAGCATCAAGGTTGGAAAGTAAGTTTAATATGTGTACTATAATTGTTCAAAAAGTACTAAATAGTACTTAATTTGGTATTGGATAAAAGATAAAGCTGATATCCGGAAATTTGATATAGATGTTACTGTTGGTGTCTGTTGTTAAGATATGGAGGTGGTTTTGGAAATGTTTAATATAATTGTAGTAAATTGAACTAAATTTTGTAATGGGGAACTGAAATTGAAAATGTGTACTCTAATTGTTCAAAAAGTACTGAATTAGGTCCACCATATAATTAGAATTTTTATATCCTACACCACACTGTGATCAGGGCAATATGTCTTTGTGAATTTATTTGTAACATGAAGAAGGAAGCGAGATATGCCTATACAGGGTGAGATGAAACAACTGCAACCAACTTCAGACTGCTGTCACATCCAAGCCACTCGTCCGACAGCTGTTAAAATTTTCCAGTGACAGCTCATTATTTTCCAGAAATAAGTTATTCGTGATGGAATTTAAGCGAGATAGTGTGATTTCTTTATATCTGGCTGGAAACCACAAGTGGCTATCGTTAGAGCACTCCTGCATTTAAATGTTAATAAATCTTTTGTGACTCTCAACATCGCTCGTTTCCGTGATACTGGTAGCCAGTCAAGGAAGTAGACGGAAGAAAACAACAACATCTGCAGATATGGTTCGAAAAGTAAATAAGCAACTTGATCGAAAAACGGGTCCCAGTGGCCGAAAAATGGCTCGGCTGAATTTATCGCAATATTCCATTCGGCAAATATTGAAAAATGAGATCGGGGTAAAGCCATTGAAATTCCAAAAGATGCAAGAACTTACACCGCAACAGAAAGAAAATGTACTCAAAAGAGCTAAAGAGTTGCTTCGCTTGGCCGAAAGTGGTGAACTGCCGATTTTGGATTTCTCCGATGAGAAAGTATTCGTTGTCCAGCAGTTCGTAAACAAACAAAATTATCGTGTTTACTTGCCAAAGAGGTCATCCGAAAATGTGCACCTTCGGTTGGCCACCAGAACTCAAGTGCAGAACTCGGTTGGCCACCAGAATAAATGCCGAATATTATCGTGAAAATATTCTGGAGTGTGTATTAAAGCCTTGGGCACCCAAACATTTTGGCCGCAGACCTTGGACATTCCAACGTTTGGAGGCCCTAATTCGTGGCAAAGTTGACCAATTCGAACAAGTCTAAACTTATTCTAAAATTTGATGCTATTTCCGACATTTTTTGCTTTCATTCAATAAAATTTTAAAAAAAGTTAAATATTATGGCCTTTGATTTTATTGCAGTTTTTTTATCTCACCCGTATATTATTAGAGAAACTGGTTACAAAATCAGAAACTATCCTTCAACATTTCTTTTACCAGTAGCTAGCAAAACTTCCACCAAATGTTTATAGTCTTCTATCAATATTTCTTAACCGAGTTCTGTAGAGAAACAACATAAAAAATCGAACCCTATCCATACAATTTTTTTCGATTATTTCAATTAAGTATATACTGGAATATTTGCTTTTATAAAAGTACAAACTATAGTTGTGTCTGGGAAACGTGCTAAAAGTTACCAACCAAAACGAAATAACTAATAACTTTTTTATTTTGTTTACATTTCAGCATATCTCTCCGATCCGAATGATCTGACCGTCAACAGTTTCATACAACAACAAGATGATTCAAGTTCCTATTTATTTCGTGATAGTGTTGCCAATCAAATCTATTCGGATGTAACATCGGTGCGATCGTTGGCATCGATAGGACTTGGTTCTTCAGATGGCCGTAAGATTATAATACGACGTGTGCCGCAAACACCCACCGAATTATTAAATATTGTTAATCCACCAACACCGCAGTAAGTAGTAGCGGATTTTGTTATTGTATTTGGAAAACAATAGCGATCTTCTTTGTTTTAAATTATTCATATCGCATACGGTCTAACTAATTTAATTGTCTTTTTGGCTTTCTTTGTGGACTTTTCCAATTTGCAAGTTTTAAAAATAGCTGCATTTTTGGAGTGTGCGAGCGTTACCATAAATGTTGCATAAATTATAGTAAAACTAAAAATATAAAATGCAAATAGAGACAGAAGTGTGTTGGGTTATCTGAATTCCTGTTGTTAGGGAAAGCACCTGAAGTTATTAATATCAAAATTCTGAGGATTAATGGCATGACTTCTTTGATAACACTAAGGTAGAGGAAGAGCTTCTTCAAAGGTTTAATAATATTTGGTTAGCTTAAAAATATCTGCCCGTTTAAAAATATTTTCATCTGGTCATCATCGAAATTCACACCAGCATAATTTTTAAAAATCTTCAGGTCCTCTATGAAGGTTTTCTGCTGTCGGTCTATAAAGTCTTTTCTGGCAGTCTACAAATACTCTTCTCCAGACATCGAAATAGACAGCCTTCTGGGGGCATAACTGTAATGGAAACTCCCTTCGGGCTTGTAGAAATAAATATGACATTGTTGGTATTTTCTCGAGACAACCTTATTGTCTTCCATACCGTCTCCCTTTCTGTTTATATACATCGAATCTAAAGTCAGCGCAATTAGTGTCCCAACGTTCACTGACTTCACACTTTTCGGTTAAATATTTTTTTGGGCACGTGACTGCAGCAAAAATAACGATACAAGAAGAAAGTAATCTATAAAAACGTGCAAAAATAAGCAATTAAATCGGATCAGAAGCTTTTAAATACCTTTAAAACTATCGCGAAACTAGTTACACTGTGCTACAACAAACAAACAAATCAAAAGGTATCAAATATTAACAAAAGAATCAAGTAATTCACTGACTGAATGACGAACGGCTCAAGCTAGAATCTTGAAATTTTGGGTTTGGTTCACTCTTGGTCCGAAGGTGTCACATAAGACTGGGTTTTTGGAAATTTTGTACTCTTAAATTTAGAATAAGGATCACTGATGGAAATTCACAATACAAATTATGGCGGCCCACACCATAACCATGGCCGGCGCTTGAGTTCTGTTGACCAACCGAAGGTGCACGTTTTCAGCTGATCTCTTTGGCAAGTAAACACGATCATTTTGTTTGCTTACAAACTGCTGGGCAACGAACGTTTTCTCATTGGAGAAAACCAAATTCCGCAGTTTACCACCTTCGGCCAAGCGAATCAACTCTTTAGCTCTTTTGAGTATATTTTCTTTCTGCTGTGGTGGAAGTTCTTTTTGAATTTCAGTGGCTTTACCTCATTTTTCAATATTTGCCGAATGGAATATTGCGATATGCTCAGCTCACGAGCCATTTTTGGGTCACTGCGACGCGGGTTTTGATCAAGTCGCTTCTTTACTTTTCGAACCATTCTGCTGATGTTGCTGTTTTTTTTTTCGTCTACTTCGCGATGGTACGAGACACGAAAGAGTTATTCACATTTAAATGCTGGAGTGCTCTAACGATAGCCACTTATGGTTTTCCAGCCGAATATAAAAAAATCACACTATTACGCTTGAATTCCAGCACGAATAACTTTTTTTCTGGAAATTCTCGCCAAAATGCTTTTGTACGCTTGTAAACAATATAATGAGCTGTCACTGGAATAATTTTAACAGCTATCGTACAAAAAGTACTGAATGGTACTACATTTGATATAACGAATAAAGGAATAGAGCTGAAATCCTAAAATTTGATATAAATGCCACTGTTATTACCTGGAATTGAGAAATATGTACTAAATTTTGTATTGGGCGAAGAATAGAGCTGAGATTCTGAAATTCGATATAGATGTGCCTGTGATTACGATATGGAAGTGATTTTGGAAATTTGTACTATAATTGTTCGTACTAAGTGGTACTAAATTCGGTATTGGATGAAGGTATCTGAGGTCTCTGTTGGTATCTGCAATTGAGATAAGGAGGTGGTTTTGGAAATATGTACTATAATAGTACGAAAAGTTAAAAATAGTACCAAATTTTGTATTTGGTGTAGGAAATGCAGCTGAAATTGTGAAATTGTATTTTGCCATATCTACTGGTGTCCCGGATTGAGATATGAAACGATTTGCAAATGATTAATGTTACTAAATTTGAGTTTTGGACAGAAAAATTTGATGTTTATTCATTGTACAATGGTTTTTCTAATGACCGCCTTTTGAGACTTTTCGGTGTAAAAGATAAGCTCTTTTCGAAAAAGGAAAAACTTGAATAGAATATAAAACTTTGAAAGTCTAAAAATTTAGTAAGATGTATGAAGTTTTGATTACAAATAATTGTCAAACTGAATAAATTGTGCTTTTTTAAGTACCAGAAAGGCATAAGTTCGTTCGCAGCCAGGGTCAGCTCATGAATCCACAAACTTTAGGTTAAACCAGTAAACAAAGTCTTCAATTCGGGCGGGCCGACTTTATTATACCCTACACCACTTTGCTAATTTAGTAGAGCTCCACATAACAATTAAAAGTTTTTATGAGAGAATTCAATCATACGCGCTATGATTATAATTATAATTTAAAGTTCAAAAGACTAAATATGCCGAAGCATTTGTATCATTTAAATTCGGACTCGTATTGCCCATTTGATATATATGGGAGCTATATCCAAATCTGAATCGATCTTGATAAAATTTGGCAAATATATTTCTGAGCTGTATTTCATATATTTCCCTGAATATCGTTGTTATGGAGTGCATATTACGGCTGTGGGTAACAAATATAACAAATCGGATGAACAATATATATGGTAGCTATAGCTATATCTGAACCGATCTTCACCAAATTTGACATACTAGCTTCTAGACTCAATTCGGTCGTAAGTGCCAAATTTCATCCCGTTTGGGCAAATATTAGACGTTTGGTGCACAATAAAAGGTAAATCGGACGAAGTTATATATTGGAGATATATCCAAATCTGAACCGATCTCGCTAATTTTGGCAAAGGTATTTCTGGGCTGTATTTGATATATTTCCCCAAATATTATTGTTACAAAGTGCATATTACGGCTTCGGAGGACTAAAATAACAAATCGGATGAACAATATATATATTGGAGCTATAGCTATATCTGATCCGATTTCGATCAAATTTGGCATATTTATTTTCAGTTCCAATCGTACGTGCAAAATTCCATACTATTCGGACTGATATTACACGTTTGGTGCACAAGAAATGGCAAATGATTTGTGCTAAATTCATCTGGATCGGATAATAAATGCGATCTGTACTTTGTTCACAAAAATAAATGGACAGACGGGCGGACGGACATGCATAAATCGACTCAAAATGTGATTCAATGCAGATCATCCAAAGGAACTATGGGTCTATCTCGTTTCCTTTTGCCTGTTACAAACAAATGCACAAAGACATAATACCCTGACCACCTTGTGGTGTAGGGTATAAACACGAGTTGGTAGATTTCAATTCTTTATAAAATTCTATTCTTTTTATACCCTCCACCTTGAAAAGGAGGGTATATTAACTTTGTCATTCCGTTTCTAACATCCCTAAATATTCGTACGTAGACCCCTTAAAGTTTGTATATTCACGATCAACATAAAATTCTAAGTCGAATTAACGATGTCCGTCTGTCTGTCTGTTGAAGTCATAATGCAGCCCATATTGTTTGACGTAGATCTTTAAAAACAATTTGTATTGTGTCTAGCATAATTGGCATTGAAAATGAGATATATCGGTCTACGTTTTGGTATAGCCAGCAATATTTGGTATTTTGATGATTGTCGCCACATTTTGTCACGGATTTGTCTAAAAATTGGTAATTGTAGGTCATAATGTGTTCCAATCCCGGTGGCGAATATATAACGAGACCACCCAATATTCGATAATTTGATGATTTTGACTTTTGGTGTTTGTAGTTCATAATGGTTTCTAGCTTCGGTGTCTGAACATTGAATATTTAGGTCCACGTGTTCGGTATTTTGATAATCCTAGTCACATTTGCCGACGAAATTATTTAAAATATGGTATCTAAAAAGATTTGGTAGATGACAATCCTTGAAGTATAAAATTGTCTATAGAGGTTTCCGATTTGGTATGGCCCCATAATTCCTTATTCCAAACCAAAAACTGAGAATCGTTCCACACGTAAAGAGAGCTGAGGCATTGGGCGCCAAAATTTCTACAAATTAATGTTTAATGTATTTTGTTTTAAGTTTATTGCCTCCTCTATGTGCTGTAATTTAAAATTCGGTAGCTCAGTGTAATTTTTGTTACCCCTGAACGAAATAAACAATTTAATGCTATGCGTAAATAGAGCAACTAACTAGCTGTTTTATTTATTAAAATAATTAGCACGAGATACCCACCCCGGCTTAACGTCCAATAGAATATGATTTAAACCTTGTTTTTCAATAAAAAAAATAAAAAAATACAATAAACAATCAATTGTAACACCTTCCGATTTAATTTCATATTGGGGATCGTTTTAGCGCCAGAGGCTTTTTGCCAACCTCAGATTAAATCAAAAGTTTAGTTGGCGTTTAACAATTCGACAATAAGGCCGGGCTGTTTTAAACGTTTTTCTAAGGATATAAAACGAATAAAAATTTTCGAACGAATTCGAAAAATCCAAAAGAATCCAATAAACTATAAGAATGGCTATGATATAGTGCAAAATTTTTAGAAAAAAAAATAATTAATTATTGAGTGAATTTAATTCTTTTATTTAATAAATATTAAAATCTTGCAAGGAATAATGTCACCACGTATGGACTTGGATGCCATGTCCTCAAAGCATTCGGAACATTCGTATATGCGCTACAATCGTATTGCCAAAGTGTAAGTTTGCTGCTTCATGAATTAAAAAAAATGTAAAAAAAAACTTGAAATATTCCTCTTCAAATTACGTGAAGTTTTAATAGACTGTGATGTTAGTATTTAGCTAATA